GGGGATCTATGTAGGAGATCCTGGATAGAGAGAGAGAACAATGTGGAACAAAACTCAAAATCACTTGAAGAAAAAAAAAAAAAAAAGAGAGACCAGGTTTGCTGGTCTGATAGAGCCTGGTGGAACCACTAAGACTGTGGTCCCTAGCTGCCCTTCAGGTCTGGAATTGAACCCACACATGTGGCTTCCAGCCAAATAAGACAGGCATTAGAGTTGAACATGTACCTGAGGTAGATAAACTCCTTGGAGAGAACAATCATAGGAGAAAGAAGGGCTGTTTATGCACAGGGAGACAGTTCAGGGGGCCAGGAGTGCATGGAGGGATGGACACAGAGAAGAGGTAACTATCAGAAGTGGGAGGGGAGGTGTTGCATTGGGGCAAATTGTCAATGTCATGAGACAACGTGTGTGTGAACTGCTGTAAGGAAAGTGAATTTGCTCTGTAAACTTTCACCCAAATCACAATTTTAAAGAAAAGTCTTTTGAGACTAAGGTGCAGCTAACCCTAGCCATGGTATTTTCAGTTGCTTCATATGCATGTGAGAGCTGGACCATGAATAAGGAAGACCGAAGAAGAGTTGATGCTTTTTGAGTTGGTACTGAAAGTACCATGGACTGCTAAAAGAACTAACAGATCTGTCCTGGGAGAAGTGCAGCTGAAATGATGCTTGGAAGTGAGAATAGCCAGACTTCATCTGACCTACTTTGGTCATGTTTTCAGAAGGGACCATTCCCTGAAGAAAGATACCATGGTTGGTAAAGTGGAGGGTCAATGAAAAAGAGGAAGGCCCTCAACGAGATGGACTGACACAGTGGCTACAATGATGGGCTCAGGTATAGCAAGGATTTTAAAGGTGGTACAGGACCAAGCAGTGTTTCGTTCTGTTGTACATAAGGTTGCTATGAGTCGGAGCCAACTTGACGGCACCTAACACCACCAACACCTTCTTTTGGAAACTTAGGAAAAATGGGGAACTTCCACAATTTAGAAACATCTACAAAAAACCTCTAGGTATGAACCTTATGTTCATACCTAGAGGTTTGAACACAAGTCAAAGATGTTCATTCTCACAAACACAGTACTAGAAGTTCCAGCCAGCATACAAGGGCAGAAAAGAAAATAAAAGGAATACAAATTGCAAGGAAATAAAACTGTCCATTATTTGTAGATGACATGATAGTCTACAAATAATACCTTAAGGAATATTTTTTAAAAAAAACTGTTTAAATAAATAAATAAATATGTATTTATATATGTATATATATACACACACAAAAAAAAAATTGTATTTCTACATAGTAGCAATCAACATGTAGAAACCAGAAATAAAAGCACAATACCATTTGTAATTGCAAAAAAAAAAAGCACCGAAATCTCACACACACAAAAAATCCTTAGGTTAAAAATAAATGTATGTAACACATATAGTATTTGTATGCTGAAAACTACAAAATGCTGAAGACATTAAAGAAGTCTAAAAATATGGAAAGACATGCTGTGTTCATGGATGGGAAGACTCAACATATTAAAGAGGACAGTTCTTCCTGAATTGATACGTAGGCTTGTCATGTTGTTGGGTACTGTCAAGTCAATTTCAATTCACAGGGTTTTCTAGGCTGTAATCTTTATGGAAGTAGATAGCAGGTCGTTCTCTCTTGGAATGTAGTTCAGTTAATAGCTGAGCACTTAACTGTTGGTGTTACTAGGGCTCCTTGTATACATCAAACATCTTGCCCATTTCTGCAAGTGTGTGCTCTAGAAACAGCCCGCAAATGTCAGCTCCAGATAGGCTTTCCCTAGCAACCCTCCTAAAAAGTTGCTCTAGTGGCACAGTGGTTAAAGCATTTGGCCGCTAACTAAAAGATCCGCAGTTCAAACCCATAAGACCCTCCATGGGAGAAAGATGAGGCAGTCTATTACTGTAAAGATTTAGTCTTTGAAACGCTATGGGGCAGTTCTACCCTATCTTATAAAGTCGTTGAGTTGGAATAGACTTGATGGCATTTTTTTTTTCTTTTTAAAAACCCTTTTGAGCAAGTTTCACTCCCCTCCCTTCAACCTTTCCTTCTGCCCTCATCAGATAAGAGCCTCTTTGGGCTTCCCAGAACACTATTCTTTTGCTTCAAACAGACCAATACAGCCCTGATCTGGTAATCTAGGTGTACCCCACCCTCGTTGTCAAGAAGGAAGTTCTCTGATGTTAGCACATAGTAAATGGCACATTGTCTGTCAGGAAGCCAGCAACCTTTCTACTTAAGTTTACTGGCAAAGGAAGAATTTCGGCTTTATCAAATACTGTTTCTTGGACCTATAAAATAATACAGGTAAAACAGAACAGTCCGTCAAAGGGAAAAACCTACCTGGATCTCCAGGAAGTGCCCGATGGACTCTAGGCCATGTCTGCATTGCCTGTGCTTGGAAATCAAGGCTCCAGAGGTCAGAGAACATGACTAAAAATAACGTCACTGCCATCGAGTCGGAGCCGACTCATAGCGACCCCACAGTATCACTACAGAAGTAGATTGCCCAACCTTCCTTCTGAGGAATGGCTGGTGGGTTTGAACTGCCAGCCTTCTGGTTAGCAGTCAAATGCTTTAGGCACTCCATCACCAGAGCTCCCTCCTTTAGAATATGACTGTGACTGATAAACATTTTCCTGTCTGGTAGTTATCTGCTTTCAGTCTAGAGGACAGAATGCAACTGCAAAGCTATGGTCACTTTAGAGCATTATGAAAGTCATGGGTGGATGGTAAGAGCCAGTTGAGGGAAGTGGTAGACACAGAACACACTTCAAGTGGACTGAGACACAAAGGATATCCTACTGGATTGTGTTATTTATGGAATTAAATTGGCTCAAGGCTTCCTCCGTTGGTGGCCACAGTATGCAGTCTCTTTGGGATGAATCAGGAGACAATTTTGTTGGAGGAACAAGGCACTTGCAACAGAAATCACATAATATGAAAGATTTGAAGATGAAGGAGGTCAGAAAATGATAGAAGCTCTCTCACTATATATACTCTGAAGGAATATGTGCCTGAACAAAAGGAGGTCCCTGATGGGGGAGGCTTTGAGGAAAAAACTGTGAAATCTGCTTCCTAAGAGGGAACTAAAGCTAAACATGCATGTGTGGTTTGAGATGTTCTTGACTAGCAAAGCCAGAAATCAAAGTAGTGCTGAAATCTACACTACTGGGTTGCTGTGCATGTTGCTCTCCCAATGGCCCAGTAGAATGGAAAGGAATGGCTTCCTAACTTCTACTTTCTAACACTTACTCATGTACCTTCCTTTCCTTGTGGACTTTAACACTGAACCATAAACAGAAGAGATTGAGAGATACAGTTCCCAGCTTCATCCATGTTAACAGTGCAATTCAGTAGAACCATCTATACCCTAGCTTTCTTCCTCATGCTACAAGGTCTCTCTTCTTAACCAATGCCTTGTGTCAGATTTCCAGCCGAGGTCAAAGACAATGAGCAAAGTTCAAAACAGGAACAGAAATCAGGCCAGGCTGTCCTGTTTCAGTATTTTGGCACCATTACTAATATCTATTTGGAGCAAAAAAATGTGGAAGGTACATTATCTTTTAATAATAAAGAATGAAGAAGAAGGTAGTTGTGAGTTAGTATATTCCAGTATCCTCAATAGAAATCAAATCTAAAGAATGCCAGATCAAAATCATTTGGAGGGAAAAAAAAAAAAAAAAAATGGTGGGGACCAGGTTTGCTGGTCCAATATAGCCTGGTAGAACCACTGAGACTATGGCCCCTGGCTGCCCTTCAGGTCTGGAATTGAACCCACACCT